TTGCTTACATTTAAAACTCTTATTCTCTAACTGTGAGGCTGGCTCTGATTTCTTCTAGTGAAGGCACAGATGTATTCAGGGGAAATGAAAAAAGGAATATCTTTTTTTCTTAGATTATTTTTATTTAGGCTTTAGCAGAAGTGAAACTGTTTAATTAAGTGAATATTCAGTGTTGAATATTCTATTGACAATTCAGTTTTTGTTGATAAGTGTCAAATCTGAGTTCCAGCAAGAAAATGAAATTAACATGTTGCTTTCTATTCTTCCAAAATATTTCCCACTGAAACATTTTATCCCCCTCTTGTCAGAGGAACCCTGACCATTTCCTTAACATATAGAGAGGAAAAATCCTAATGTAAATGCTACTCTAAGTGGCATAATTTCCAAATTAAACTACAATGTTCCCCATCTAGACTTTATTGTTCTGATTATAATAAAGTATCCATTTCATTGGACACATGATTTAAATGAAACAAAATCAGTGAACTGACATTAAATACAAATAATATGCTCCATCTAGAAAATAGCATATTATCAGTACTGTATATCCCCTCTTTTACCACAAGGCAGAGTTGTATGAAAACAGATGGTTGTTCCACCATTATGTACTTCAGGATGACAAACTGGTTTTTTTGAACCAATGCAGAAGTGAATTCCAGAGTTGTAGGTGGCCTGTCAACAGCCACCACACAAGCAAATCAAGGCAACCTTAGCAAGTACCCTGAACGCCAGTTGACTGAAAGATCCATGTGAAACAGAGAGACTGGTAGGTAGGTGTGATCCAATCCAGATAAAGTTCAGATCAGTTTCAGTACTTTAAATTTCATTCACAGGCAAAATATGTCGCCAGAAGCCACTATTTGCAGTGCTTGATACTGTGTATCAATGTAGAATTTCACAAAGTATTTTAACAAACATTGATTGTATTGGTTGTCATAAGTATGATTCTACTATGATGTGTGTACTAGTTGAATGTTGTGCTAGGAATCCCTGGAATGAGATACAGTAATTCCTCATTTAACACTATAGATATGTTTCAGAAAATGATCATGTTAAGTGAAAACGTGTTATGTGGGGTCAATTTTCCCGTTGAAAATAATGGAAAAGGTGGGGGTTGCATTTCAAGCAGTGGTGTCTGTTGGGACTGGGACATAAGATTTGGGGAGAAGGGGACTGAGTTACAGCAGAGAGGGGAGGTGTTTGGCTCTGGGGAAGGGAAGGGAAGGGAAGGAGGGGGATTGGGTTGGGAGTATGCTTCTGTGATGGGTCTGCCGCGACCCGCACTGTGTCTGGTGAGGGGGGGCCTGCAAGCGGGGGCAGAGGAGAGGGGGAAGGCGTCCGGCGAAGGAGAACGACGCAGCAAGCGGCGAACCCTCCACCGCTTTGCAGGGAGGCAGGGGAAGCGCTGTGCTGCCGCCGGCAACAGGGCTGCTGGGGGAATAAGCGGGGGCGGAGAAGAGGGGGCAAGGCGTCCGACGAGGGGGAGTCAGCGGGGAACGGTGCGGCGAGCGGTGAACCCTCCATCGCTTTGCAGGGAGGTGGGGGAAGCCCCGCACAGCCGCCAGCAACAGGCCGGCTGGGGAAATCGTGTTATTCCAGGGATGGTCGTGTAATTCAAAAAATGTTCCCTAAAAAACAATCGTGCTGTTGTGAAAATGTGTTAAGCGGTCACGTGTTAAATGAGGAATTACTGTATTTAGCTTAGTTCTGGCTGAATTGATGAGTCTACAAAGACTCTTTTGCAGTATGGAGAGAAGGCAACAAGCTTGCCAGAGTTACTAAGCCACCAGATCCACCTAGCTCCATCCCACAATTCAGCAATTTAGAAATTACGTCAAAACCTTTGCTCCTGGCAATAATCATGAGCACTATCAGAAGTACTTCTGAAATGAGACTTGTGTGTATATAGATGTGTCAAAATCATTCTATAAAAAGAGTGGTCCTTGTGGATACATTGGACAGCAAGAGAGCCAAAACAACTATTATGTGCTTGCTCTACAGTTTTTTTCCCTTTGTTTAGCACAAAATTATTCTTTTGGTTTTATATCCTTTACTCTGCGAACTTATACTATGTAAGGCTTTGGCCCTCTGCATCTTGATCACACAAAGAATACTGGTAGTTTTGTCCATGCCTTGCTAGTGAGGAATCTTTTATGTCCATTGAGGAATCTTCCATTTTTAAATTGGACCTTGCACAGCAATTGGCCCACATCGACTTTTATGCCTATGTACAACCCAGGGTGGTGGATTGCTGTGCAAGATCAGCCCCATAGCATGTTAAGCTTCAGGAAGATCATATTTAGAACATAGACAAAATGTGTAGAAAATGAAGGTGAATGTGGATTGTAGAGCCCTTGAGTCAAATTATAAACCTGAACTATAAAAATAGAGCATTGTGTTTTTGAAGAGGAGAAAAAAAGCCCTCATACAATATAGAAAAAAAGACATTGTAGAATAACTAGGAGGATGCACCCACTCTTGATGTGCTTGCCACCTCCCCCCCCATAGGAAGTAGGTTACCTTGGCTCTCACCCAGCCACCAGGGAGGGTAAGGCTGTGGCTGCGCCATCCCGGACCCCTTTTTTCTCCTTTCCCCCGTCCTAGCCGCACCATCCCAGGCCCATTCTCTCTGCACCCTCCCCCCCAGCCATGCCAAACCAGGCAGAACACAAACTGACGTGATGACTTCACTTTGTCATCCCACAGGAAATATTTTTTAATATATATAAATTAATTACACCAGACATCTATATTTTAAATGTTTTATTGCTGTTTTAGAAATAAGAAATATAGGGCAGCCAACTTTAATGGTGATGTAAATCTGTAAGACACAACCCACCTTCAAAGAAATAAATTATTAGTGCATACAGTTACTGAATATTGGAATATTTCTGTGTCTAAAATGTTAAAGCAATCCCTTTTGTCTTCAGTGCTGGCCTGTTTGACCACTGAGTGGAATTATCTGGTGGTGTTTTGCACTATATCCCATGTTGTACTCTTAGGCTGTGTCTAGACTACATGCCTCTGTCGTCAGAGGCATGTAGATTAGACACATAGGCAAAGGCAAATGAAGCCGCGATTTAAATGATCGCGGCTTCATTTAAATTTACATGGCTGCTGCGCTGAGCCGACAAACAGCTGATCAGCTGTTTGTCCGCTCAGTGCCGACATCAAAACCCTTTGTCGGTAGCCCCATTATTCCTCGTGAATAGAGGTTCACCGGGGCTGCCGACAAAGGGCTTTGATGTCGACAGGGGGAACGTCCAGACTAGCGGGGAAAGCCATGTAGATTTGTTGGTTTGGCAAAGGCAAATGAAGCCGCGATTTAAATCGCGGCTTCATTTGCCTTTGCCAAACCAACAAATCTACATGGCTCCGTCCACGGAGCCATGTAGTTTAGACGTACCCTTAGGGTACATCTACGCAGCAGTGTTATTTTGGAATAACTGATGTTATTTCAAAATAACATAGTGTGTGTCTACACAGCAAGCCGTTATTTCGAAATAATGTTGAGATGGATGACTTCTTACTCCAATTCCTGTAACCCTCATTTCATGAGTAGTAAGGGAAGTTGAAGGAAATGTGTTCTTCCTTTGACTTCCTGATGTGTAGACAGCGTCCAAACCCGAGTTAAGCAATTTTGACTTCAGCTACGTAATTGAGATAGGTGAAGTTACATATCTTAATTCGAATTTTGCCCTCAAGTGTAGACACGCCCTAAGTGAATGTTTTCTAATCTTCTTTTGCTGCAATGAGCCAAGTGATTTTATTAGAAAGAATATAAATAATTTGGTATGAACACATTGGCCTCCAGGCAAAGTGCTTTTTTTTTTTTTGTGGTCTTCTGGTTTCAACTTTTACTAACACTAAACTCATGACGCTGTGAAATGGGCCTGGGAAGGAAAAAAAAGACTAGATTAACAAAGCATATAAAAAGTCTTTTTCACACACATCAGTGTTTCGTTCTTGCTAATGTCACGTGGTGATTTTAATAGGTTTTGGGTGGATAGTGTTTTAGTCTACACAAAATGGGCATTTTCTTAATTCCCTTAGAGTGAATTTACATCTCTGTCTGGCTATTAATTTTACAACATTTATCACTATAAAGCCACCACAGCGCATGGGCAAAATTTAACAGGTTTCATAGACATGCACATTTTATAGTTCCATTAAGCAGATTTTTTTAAGCAGATATGTGTTGAATCAGTGGTTCTATAATCCAGGATGTGGTGAAAATACGTGTTCAAGTATATGTGAACCATATGGCTCTTTTCACATAATTGTTATTGTTCACAATTACATAGGCAAATTGTAATTCTCAAATGTCATAGTCCTATGAACCATGCAACAGAAAATAGCAGTTAAGATCTCTTATTCCACAGACTCTAGCAATCTACTTGTGAGAATTAATGTAGGATAAAGTTTTGCCAAAATGTCTTTTGTTCCTGCTTTTAGGAAGTTTTTGTGATAGAAAAAATAGCAATACATTTATGAAAAATGGGAACAAAAAACCTTTTAAGGCACTTGGCTTAGAAAAATATTAGTTTAATTATCAGGCAAAACAGTGAAAGGTCAGGTGTTGAAGTGTGAGAGCTTTATTGAACCCCATGTATGCTGAAAGATGAAGTGAATAAAGTTTGGGGGAGTTACAGATTAGATAAGAACATAAGAATGGCCATACTGGGTCAGACCACAGGTTGTCTAGTCTAGTATCCTGTCTTCCAATAGTGGCTAATGTCAGATGCCCCAGAGGGAATGAACAGAACAGGTAATCATCAAGTGATCCCTTGCCTGTCATCCATTTCCAGCTTCTGACACATAGAGGCTTGGGACACCATTCCCCACTCCTGCTTTATATTCTATATTCATGACTGATTCTTGGGAAAACAAGCCCAAAAGGAGTTCTGCACAAATATCTGCTGATGGGTTGAAGTTATAGATGTGATTAGTTGTACAGATTTTAGGGAAAGGAAGTTAATGGTATGAGTATGTTTCTCCAGGGATCCGAAAAGACCGCAGAGGTGGGCGAATGCTGAAACACAAACGTCAGCGAGAGGAGCAGGATGCCAGGAGTGGAGGGACTGCATCTACTGAAATGAGAACCCCCACCCTCTGGACAAGTCCTCTTGTAATTAAGCATAGCAAGAAGAACAGTCCAGCGTTGGCCCTGACAGACGATCAGATGGTCAGTGCCTTGCTGGAAGCTGAGCCACCCATCGTCTATTCTGAGTATGACCCTAACAGACCTTTCAGTGAATCCTCCATGATGACCCTGTTGACCAACCTTGCAGACAGAGAACTAGTGCACATGATCAACTGGGCCAAAAGGGTCCCAGGTAAGAAAAGAGATAATTTAAAACTGGTTAACTGGAAATGTTCCAATATGATATTTCAGCAAATAAACTTTCTTCTCCCTCTCCCTGGTCTACACACACAGATTTTCCTCATTATCCTTATCTGTAGAATGACAAACTTCTTAGAAGGAAACTTTAGGGAAAATCTGGTTCAGAAAAATTCTTTATTGTACCTAATAATATGCTGTCTGAGAAATATGTTGGACACGTCAAAGGTAACTGGCACCAGAGGCGTAGTGAAGAGGGTGCGAGGGGGGGCAATTGCCCCTCAGCGCCACGCTAGGGGGGCGCTGGGCTGGGGTGAGAGCACAGGCTTATCAGGCATAGGTGGCGAGTTCTATGGCCGTCCCCCGCCCCCGCCCTCACCCTGGGCCGTCCCTGCTGTGCACAGCATTCAGTTGGCTCCCCCTTGCCTGCGCATACTGCGCATGACAGGGACGGTCCGGGAGGGGGTACGGCCATAGAACTTGCCGCCCATGCCAACATTCAGTCAGCTTTCCTTTGCCTGCGCACGCTGTGCAGCATTTGCAGGTGACCGGGGAGATGCCCGGGACTTTAAAAGTGTTCGGTGCCGCGTGGTGCCGGCCTAGCTTCTGGTTCGGAGTCTGGGGACTTTTGGGGCCCAAGCACAGACTCCGGCCCCGCAAGTGGAAGGTGGAAGGCAGGGCAGGGCAGAGGGAAAACTAGGGGAAAGGGTGGGAGAGGAAGAGGCTTGTGTGGAGGAGGGAAGAAACAAATGCCAGGGGGCCAAGTGCAGACAATGAGGAAAAGGGCAGGAGGGGAGGTGTCAGTGGGAGGGTGGACAGGGTGATGCTGGGAGAAGAGAGGAGAGGGGAAGGGCATTAGGGTCTGGAGGAGGGAGGGGAAGGTGCTGGGAGAAGGCTTGAAAGGAGGGCTGGGCATGAAGAAGGTGGGGATGGAGCAAGGCATGTGTGAGGGCACAGAGGGGCATGAGGGGAACGGGAGCAGAGAGTGGTGGGGGGGGGCATCAGGGAAAAAGAGGACAAAGGGTGAAGGAGCAGTGAGGGAAGGGGGAGGTACCAGGAGGGTGCAGGGCTAAGGGAATGTGCAGATGCCAGGAGATTCTGGGGGTGAAGCAGAAGGGCAGACACCTGCAGGGGAGGGACCAGCACCAGAGGAGAGAGGCAGAGCAGGTGTGTAGAGGGAGGTGTTAGAAGAGGGGATGAGGAGGGGTAGCTCACCGGATCAGAGTGGGGCTACTGAAGGAGTGGGCACAGGAGGGAGAGACGGGCTGGTGGTGGGGGTCAGGTCGTAGGAGGGCTGAGGGCAGTGAGAAGGACAGGAATCAGGACAGCAGTGGAGGGTGAAGAGTTGGGGGGCAGCAGGCACCAGGGGGGATGATGGAGCAAGGAGAGGAGACATTGCAGCTGAGAGAAAAGGTAAAGGTTTAAAAATATTTATTAATAAACTGGTATGCTGCCCACGGCCAGTTTGTTTGCGCCCCGCGGTGCAGTTTGGGTTTATGTGGGGATCAAGACGTGGTCGGCGAGTGGGAGCCAAAACAAAAAAGTAGTCAGTGTAATGATCTTCTGTTGATATGCATTTTAGTAGTTAAATTATTGGACTGTCATTGCTCATGAAAAGTGCCGTCACATGGGTAGAAATTGGGTAAGTATTGCATTTTATTAATATCAGCAGAGCTGACTTAAATGGGGCCTGTGTGTTGTGTAGTCTTGCCTTGATCTTTGTATTCATGCCTGTCAGTGTGAGAGAAGCTATTTGTATATATTTGCTTGCATATGCAACCACACTTAAGTTGAGGCCCTCAGCATGTTCTGTAAGTATCAGTGTGGCCCCTGGGGCTTCCAAAGTTGAGTTGCTCTAGCTCATCCCTGACAGGTGTCTATCTAACCTGGTCTTAAATATCTCCAGTGATGGAGATTCTGTAGTCTCCTTAGGCAATTTATTCCAGTGTTTAACTACCCTGACAGGCAGGAAGTCTTTCCTAATGTCCAACCTAAACTTCCCTTGCTGCAATTTAAGCCCATTGCTTCTCATTCTAACCTCAGAGTCCAAGGAGAACAATTTTTCTTCCTCCTCCTTATGATACTCTTTTAGATACTTGAAAGCTGCCCTCATGTTCTTTTTCAGTCTTCTCTTTTCCAAGGCAAATGAACGTCATTTAGCCGCTTCAGCTTTCTGTTTTGCCTCATCTTCTTGTAACCAGAGCTGCATAGTTTTCAGGATGGTTACGTTTTACATGCCGCCAAAAGTTGAAACTTTTCACAGCACTTGCTTCACTTGTCTTGAAGCTACATGGTTTGAGCTCACCATTCACTTCCTTTTCCACCGTTCACGTTGCCAATTTCTTCTTTGCTTTTCCCAAAAGTCCAAATTTGGGCTTTTCAAATTAAAAAGTAAAGATGTTGCTGAGCTCCTTTTCTGTAAATCGGCTATCAATCATGGGGGGCAGATTTGATTTTTTTGTTCAAGCCATGGCCAAATCTTCTTGTGCTGCTACTGCATCCAAATGTCTCGTTATGATCTTCAAAAAGCAATGAACAAAAGCATTACTTTTTTTATAATGTACCTGCTTGTGATATCTTAACCACTTAAGGTATTTTGAATTTATTTTGGAACTTCTGGACAAAAGTGACGATATTTTCTTTTTACACAATATTATTATTAAAATATTAAAATATACTTTAACATGTTTCTCGCAGTTTTTTATTTTTAACAATATTTTTAACATAATATAAATTTTTATTTATAAATTGCAAGTTAGTTTATGAAATTTTTCAATAAAAATATTCAAAAATATTCAAGTTTTTAATTAATCTAAAAAATGCTTTAATATAGATATATCAATGAAATTTGGTATATGCCATAGCGTTAGTACGTGCTATCGCTGTTCTACAATATTAATTGTTGAGAAGTGTCAGCCGATGGTTAGGGCAGTGTGTGTGTGTGTGTGTGTGTGTGTGTGTGTGTGTTTTCGAGAAAAGGTTTAACGTTCGTGTTTTTACTGCTAGGACCGGGGTTCTGTCGCAGAGGGTGGCCAGCAGGCCAACAGATGCCCCTTTATATAGGAAGAGCTTATTATACCTTAGATTTTAGCTGCTAGAACACAAAGTTCCTTCGCAGCGGGCAGCCTGGGGAAGGCTGAAAAGTGCCCCAACGGATCTGTCACCTGGGAGTGACACAGA